GTACTGACTGTTTGCAATCCTTATGGAGCTAATACTGTCTGTCGGATGCAATTATATCCATCACAGGACTGACAGGAGGTCAGCGTGTGACCGAAGAGCCAAGTTTCTCTCCTGTTTTCATCAGTGTGTATTGGAACCAGGAGAATTTTTCTGGCTTATTTCAGCTTTGGCTTAACTTTCACAATAAGGTGGCTGCCTCCGCCAGCACCTGAGCTGCACTGTGGCGGTTACGTTTTACTGTTGCGTGTCCACTGAGCCCAGAAGGAAAAACAGTGCCCACTGTCCCATCTCACAGCGACGGCTTCGAATCTAACCTGCCGATTTGTTCTCTCTGGCAATTTCAGACTCGTACCTTTTCCTAAAATATCCTCACTTCAACATTTTTACTTTCAAAGTCTGCACTTTCATTTCAGGTATTACAGTGTTTTAAAGAACCTTAAAGTCCTGGGCCGCGGTCTGTACGAGGCATCTCTTTATTTGAAGGAGGAAAGGAACGTTTTCTTCCTCTCCATGCTCATTCCCCAATCCTCTACCCTCTACTTTCCTTATCCTCAGACACAAATCTTTTTTTTTTTTAAATTTACCTTTATAGTTGAAAGTATTACAGATATTTTCCTTTGTGGTCCCCCCACACCCCCATTGACTTCCTCCACCCCGCCCCCGCCCCTCCCAGGCCTTCACCACACTAGTGTCTGTGTCCCTGGGCTATGCCTGTAAGTTCCCTGGTTAATCTCTCCCCACCCCAGATAGGACTCTTTTAAGCCTTTACTTACACACCTGGCACCACAGTGGTGTCGGAGCGTTCTGGAAACAGGCTTGTTATGAAGCGTTTAGCATTCAGGAACACTGGGAGGACAATGTAGGGTAAAGGGGGTACCGATCCTCTGAGAAGTTAAAAGCTTGCAGATGGATCCCCAGAGCGCCTCCTGGCTGGCGACATTTCCCTTGGGGGCTCCTCTGGAGACAAGAGAAAGGATCCGGGCAGACACTGGTCGGGTTGGGAAGGACTCTGAGCCGCATCAGGCCCCCGGAAATACGCTTGGGGCTCTCAGCCAGGGCATGGCTCGTCTGCGGCAGTGATTTGGGGGTGTCTTGGTGGCCTGGTGCACGTCACCCTGTCCTCGGGGGGCCTTATGAAATGGCGGGGAGGGAGGTGGTTATCAGGGAATGTGGGGGTGGGAAACTGTCTTGTTTGTGGATCTCTGATCCCACTGAACGTCCGGGGAAGCCTGAAACAATCTGGTCTCCCAGGGCTGTGTGCATTATTCCATTTTCAAGGATTCGAGGGTTTTCAAGTTAGAAATTAAATCATACCGTGGAAAACAGTGCCGCGGGCATCTGCTGAGCCCTGCGTTGGACAGTCACCGAGTGTCGTGCATGAACCAGTGTGCAGGGTGTCACCAGCTCTTTCCTGCTGCCTTCAAATGGACTTTATATCATTACGGACCTGCACTTCCTCCCTCCATACAGACACGCCCCGGGGCCGCTGTGGGAGGCACGGTCCACAGGTCCTGTTTCCTGTGGATGGGCTTAGTTTTCCCATCATGGTTCTCATTTATATTTTGGGTTTACGAGTGCTTTAAACTAAAAATAAACGCTCCTTCACTTTTCTGTTGCTAAAAAGAATTTTTTAAAAATCCTTGTGAAATGTAGGGTTTCACATAAACGCCTCAGTCCCCGAGATAACATGTTGTTTTTAAAATTTCACCTGCAATTTCAGGTTCTCTTTTTGACACTGGTGTGTAATTTCCTGGGGTTTGTCTAGAACCTGTATTTGTGGTCACTGGAACCCAATGGATGGAGTGGGAGGGGAGCCAGTGAAGTTGCTCCTGCCGTGGCCACACGCTCAGCTCTGGTTGGTAACTTGGAAGGAGAGATGAGAGTCCATAGCTCTGCTGGGAGGCGGGCTCATTCCATCTACAGTGTGCTAGTGTCTAGGAACTAGGTGATTTAAAAATATATATCTTTTTATTGATTTCAAAGAGAGGGGGGGACAGAGAGATAGAAACATCAATGATGAGAGAGGTTCACTTATCAGCTGCCTTCTGCACACCCCACACTGGGGATCAAGCCTGCAACCCAGGCATGTGCCCTGACCAAGAATTGAACCGTGACCTGCTGGTTCATAGGTCGATGCTCACAACACCGGGCGGAATTGGTGATTAGTCCGTGATCCCTGGTGGCAACGAGGAGCTAATTAAGCAGTTGGGGTTTGGGATGTGTCTCCCCTCATGTGCTTCTGTTCTTTGACCCAAGGAGGTTTCACAAACAGACATTGCTGGCTTTCAAATCGGGGGGCATATTTTGTGTGCAGTTTAATGACGGCCTAACATTTCCTGGCTAAATTTGCGGTTCTGCACAACAAACATTTTGGAAAGCAGACCTAGAGCTGAGCCCCTCAGTTAGTGTTATTAGCAAGCAGAGGATGAGGGGACTCTGTAGTCTGGTTGGATTGTAGAAAAAATCTGGGATGGGAGATGCAACTTTCCCGGGGAGTTGATGTGAAAATAAACAACGGGGTGGCCTTGTTTGCGGTTGTCTTTCCCTCGCTTCGCCGGCAGCTCGCGCCGCAGATGGGCAAGGCCTGCCCTCTCATCTGTCAGTGTCAGTGGGTAATTGCATTCCTTGGGGTCCAGTCTTGTCCTTGTCATCGGGAGGTGGCGGGGGCCGGGGGTCAGAGGTGGCCCTGGAAGGGGAGGCTGGGAAAAAGCAGCTGTGTGTTTAGAGATGAGCTTTTATCTGAAATCAGCCTTGAATCCTTTGTAGCTGCATCTTTCGAAAAAATAGGGAGAGACTTGGGGACGTCTGCAGGCCAGCACCTAAGCCGCTTTCCTGAGACCCATCGAGGGTCCAGTCTGCATGTCCTCTAGGGAGGGTCCCGTTTGTTCAGAGACTGACTGTGCTGTGATTCAGGGGTGCACCGAGGGACCCCCTAGCCCGCCAGGGGTGGGGCCCGCAGGGCGGGGCAGCTTCAGAACCTGACTCCTGTGGCTGACATGTGGACAGTGGCTCCCAGCCCCTCTCCCCGGAGGCTGCCTTGCCCATGCCCTGCCGTCCGCAGACCCAGCATGGAGGCCGGCCCTGGTCCTGGGCAACCGGTAGCTGGTTGGCGCAGGTGCAGGGGTGTCTTGGCCTCCACACACGTCTGAGGCTGTAAGTGAGGGGGACACAGATGGCAGCAAATGGGGAGGCGTGCTGGTTGTGGTAAACATAATCTTGGTGGTGTGTGTCGTGACGGAAAGTGTTTTCAGTGTAATCAGCGATGTTCGCTAGTAAGGAGGATGTTGGTTACCATTTGCCAGGCACCGGCCGGTCTGGCCTCTGCTGGCACCATGTTCATCCACTTGCAGGTGATGTCTTATCGGTGGCACTTCAGGGTGGTGCCCGGAGGCCGAAGAGTGGTGGCCAGGTGCACAGCTTCCCGTGCACCCGTGTGTCGCCCCAGCGTGTTCGCCTCAAGGGGGCAGGAGCGGCCCTCATTTTCACTTTCAAGAACATCTTGCCTTTAGAGCTGCAGGGGCACCTCTGCCCACCTGCCCTGCCAGCTGGCCCTGCATGCGGTTCCCCGAGAGCCCAGCACGTGATACTGAGCACTCATCTCCACTCCTTTCAGCCAGGATTGCAAGTTAATTGGGTGTCTTGCATCTTCTCCAGCTGCTTGGCCTCCCGGCGCCTCCCGACCCACTGGCCATCCTTCCCTCCTTCCACCTGAGCGCCGGCCGCCCTCCCCTCCGCCTTTGCAGGGCCAGGTGTCGGCTCTGTGGCATGGCCGCCCACCCGCTTTCGTGTCCCCATGGATTGTGTTCGCCGTGCTCCCTCTGAGTGCGCTTCCTGTCCTTCCTCGCAGACCCCAGCGGGTCGCGCGGCTCTGCCATTGGCTCCACGCCGCATCCCTTTCTTTGGAAAGCTCACCCATCTCTCCGAAACTGGGACACGGGCATTTTGTGAGCCAGAGTGATGAGATTTCTGAATTTGTGGGAAATACGCAGAAAGCGAGTCCCCTTTGGAAGGAGAGGGCCAGAGCTGCGGCCGGCTCTGCTCCTCGCCCACAGAGTGTGGGGGTGCCATGGCTCTCACTGAGGAGCAGTGGCTCCTGTGGGCGTGGGAGATCAGGTCATAGGGGTCATCTGTGCTGCATGGGCCTCCCTGGACCTGTGCAGGGGCGAGAGGCAGAGAAGGCTGGCACAGGAGGCCCCCCGAGGATGCGAAGGGTATGGCTGTGCTGAGGGCCCACGGTGGCTGGGGACTCGTCTTTCTGACATCCTCAGGGGTATTCCTGAGAAAGGGGACTTCAGCAGAGAGTCTTCTACTCTGTGAAGTGTTACATTGTTAACATCCAGTCATCATCCTCTGTGCAGTGGCTCTCAACCTTCTGGCCCTTTAAATACAGTTCCTCATGTTGTGACCCAACCATAAAATTATTTTCGTTGCTACTTCATAACTGTGATGTTGCTACTGTTACGAATCTTAATGTAAATATCTGATATGCAGGATGGTCTTAGGCAACCGACCCCTGTGAAAGGGTTGTTCCACCTCCAAAGGGATCGCGACCCACAGGTTGAGATCCGCTGCTCTATAGCATGGTTTTGGGATTTCAGACAAGGGACTTTGAGTAAAAAACCAAAGGGCCCGAAAGTTGGCTGACTGGCTACAGGATCTGTTCTGGGCAGCCAGGTACCTCCTGGGTCTCCACCCCTGTGAATGCGCACAGCCAGGGCATCCTGGATGCGGGGGGGCCTGTGGGCTGGGCAGGAGCCTGTGAGGTGAGGAAAGTGGAAGCCACAGAGCCCTGGAGTCATGGGCAGAGTGGGTTTAGGGGGGCAGAGCGCAGACTTGGAATCGGAGCTGCCGTGTGGGCTCGGCAGGTCACAGTCCTGTGCGGAGGTCCATCAGGAGCTCTGTCTGCCTGGGCGTGTCCTGGTCTGAAACCTGGCGCATCGGGCGTTCTGACCTTGCATTCAGTGTCCTGTGCCTCACTCTGTCACCCTCCTGTTTTGCAGATGCCTTTGTGAACAGCCAGGAATGGACGTTGAGTCGATCTGTCCCGGAGCTCAAAGTGGTGAGTGCGTCCCGGGCCTTGGCAGTGGTCTGTGCTCACCTGCAGGAGGGGGCTCCGCGGCAGGCGGTGACCTGGTCACACCCAGGCCTGCATCCCTGGGGCCCGCTTGTCCCTGGGGCCCAGAGCGGAGCTTGCCTCTGGGTGTGTCCCTAGAAGGGCCAGGTGTAGCTGGCAGTTTGGGGCTTGAGACCTGAGTGCCTGTGAAGCCGAGATGAACAAACAGCCAGAGCAGCCTGGGTGCACAGGCAGGGTCCCTCCATCATCTGCTCTTGTTTGTGTGTTTATGTGTGTGTGTTTCTCTACACACACACACACACACACACACACACACACACACACACACACACACATGGGTTTATTTATCCTTTGTTGGATGTCATGGAAAATTTCTAGAACGATTCATGAAGTTTTGGGATTCATCATTTAAAAAATGTGATTGTTACTACTACATTACAAAGTAGTGGCATAAAATTAAAAGAAGAATTTTGTTTTTGGTACAAACTCTATTATTTCAGTGACATTAGTTAAAGCGTACAATTGGCTTATGAAACATGACCTGGGTCTCTTGCAGCCACACCTTTGAGCCAGAGCCGCCTGCCCACTTCCATTTAGGGTGAAGGAAGGGACAGACTTTATCTTGAAGTGTGATGTTCTTTGTTATGAAATAACTGGCTTTGGGGGATATACCTGTGTGTATGTATAGTTATATGTATATATGTTTGTATATATGTGTGTGTATATGCATATTTATGTGTGTATAAGTGTACCCACTTAGGTATGTATTTATATGTATGGTGTGTGTGTATGTGTATGTATGTGTGCACATATGTTCCTATATTGCCTTGGTCGATGTGGCTCAGAGGCTAGAGTGTTGGCCTGCCCACCGGAGGGTCACAGGTTTGATTCCAGTCAAGGGCATATAGCTGGGTTGCAGATTTGATCCCCAGCCCCAGTCAGGGCATGTGAGGGAGGCAATCTATCCATGTGTCTCTCTCATATCGATGTTTCTCTCTCTTCCTCCCTGCCACTCGCTCTAAAAATCAATGGGAAAAAATATCCTCAGGTAATGATTAACAAAATATATGTGGGTGTATGTACATGCATGTGCATGTGCACGTATGCATATATATGTATGTATGTATACAGGGTGTCCCAAAAATGTATGCACACTTCAAATAATTATAAAGGCAGTAGTTATTAAAATACATTTAATTTCAAAGTGTAATGGAAATTAGTTATTCAAGCGTGAATACATTTTTTGGGACACCCTGTATATGTGTATTTATGTGTGTGTTTATGTGCATGGCATGTGTATGTATGTACATGTGTGTATGCATATGTCTTTGTGTATTCATGGTCGTACATGTGCATGCGTGTATGTGTATATGTATATGTGTATGCATGTCCGTCTGTCCGTGTGTGTGTGTGTGTGTGTGTGTGTACACACATATATATACACCTCTGCAGTGATGGGCTCTGACCATAACGTGGGAGCATATAAGCTCTCCCACTCAGCACACACTGATGAAGCCTGCCTCAGTTCTCCCGGGTCCCCATTTGTTAGTAGCTGCAGGCTGTCTGCCCAGTGACCCCAAAGCTCTTGGACACCTTCCACTGGTTGGACATTCAGAGGGGCAGGACCCTTGGGTTTCTCACTTCTGAGATGAGATTGCGCAACACGGGACACCCGGATTGTGAAGAGAGTGTATATGACTTTGAATATGACTTTCATCTGGAAAAGCAAGGAGGACGTGTGGGAGGGCACCTGAAATTGGGAGGCAGGGTCACCATGTCCCCCGTCCCGCTGCCCTCGCTGTGTGTCAGCCCGGCCATCGCCTTGCCTCGCTCTCCCACCAGAGCTTGGCCTTCTCGGGGACACCTGCCAGCGGGTTTCTTCCCTTGCGGGAGACAGAGGGTCTGTGAGTCATGCCTGTTTTGGAAGCACGGGTTCCACGGGACTGACCTGGGAACAGCCACTCCTTCTGCCTCTGTTCTGAGACCCCCCGGACCTGGCACAGTCAGGAAACACCTGTCAGTCGAATGCCACACAGTTGGCATCATGGTCACAGGAGCTTTTCAGAAGGTTGGCCAGTTTCCCGTACACCCTCAGGAAACCACATGCTGTGTCGGTCCTGCCATGGGAGTGAGACTCGGGGATGGGGTCTCCATGACAATGTGACTGCACTGTAAAGCCCTTCCTCTGTGCAGGCGTTTTTAGTGCTTCCTATACCATCTCATTTAACCCTGACCACCCCCATCCCACAGGTGGGGAGACTGAGGCTCGAAGGAGCCAGTTAGTAAGGGCGGAGCTGAGGTGTGAGCTGGGGACACATTCTGTCCTCACTTCCAGGGCGGCTGCGCCTGGCCCCTGGCCCCATGTGACTGTGGAGCACTTGAAGTGTGGCTCGTGCAGCTGAGGGGCTGAGTTTAAAATTTTATTTGTCTAAATTGGAATAATTACAGACTGACTGTACTCGCCGAGTGTCAGACCCTCTGCCGAAGCCCCGGTTTTGAGAGTTAAAGGTGTCAGGGTTCTGCCAGCCCACAGTAAGGCTGCTTCTAGCACAGATGTGTTTTCTGCCAGTTGATCAGCGCGCAAACATCTGCAATCAATGGCCAGGGGTGCAGGAGGTGTGGCTTCAAGGGGAGCATGGACTCCTGTTCTCCACAAGTAACTACCTGAAGGTTTGTTTGAGTTCTCTGAAGGCTTGACTCCATCCTGGATAAGGAATGTGAGTGGTTCTGCAGGTCCTTAGGGGAGGTTCTTTCCCTCCTGCCCCTGAACCCTGTGGAAGGCTGGCTCTGCTCCGGGCTGGTGCCCCCTGGTGGAGGCCGCAGGCAGTTCGTCCTCTTAGGCCTCTTGGGCAGATCCTTTCTGTGCTAAGGAGTTGCAGCATCTACAGAAAATGCTCCATTGTTAGGAGGCAGCCTCTGTGTATCCACAGGGCTGCAATTGTCTCCTGCCTAGTCCAGCACCACACGACAGGTGGCCCCTTAGGTCAGCGCCTTCGGGACCCCTGACTCTGTTTCACAAACAGAATTAAATGACATAATAGCCAGCCTCAGATGGACTCTTTATGTAACATTTTGCAATCAATCTTCTGGAATCTGTCAGAGAAAACAGCTCAGTGTTTGCTCTGTTTTCAAGAGTGGTAGTGCCATGCTGTGTCCTGAGGTTGTGTTAGGGTTAGAGGATCAGTGACAGTTGCACCCGTGGGTCACTGCATGCCAGGCGCAGGCTTGTGCTCTTGTCCGGGCAGAAAGAGTGAAGCCAGCGTAGCTGTCTTGCCTGTAGAGGGGCATGTTCACCAGCCTCTAGTCACGTCTGACCTCCGTGTTTTCGTTGAATTCCCAACTGGGAGTTTTACTAAGAGCCTAGATTTCCTTTTCAGCAAACCACATGGTTAGCAGGTGAGGGGTGGAGTTTGAGAGGCAGGGAGGTCAGTGCGGGGAGAGACGGCGCTCTCGTTCCTCGTGAACTGGCGATGTGGAGTGCGGCTCCCTGAGGGTTTGTGGCCCTGCCCCAGGACGAAGGACCGGGGGTGACCACCCCGGCCACCTCACGCCGGCAGGTCTGTCATTGCCAGGACACTGTCCCGTGCTGCCTTGTCCCCCCACGGAGCCTGCAGGCCCAGGCTGGCTGCCTGTGTTCTCTCCTGTTGTACTTGCAGCGGCTCCCGGGCCAGTGCAGCTCTGCAGCGGAACGAGCATTGTCCTTCGCTCTTCTTTTCCTCCCCACAGCCGGCTGCTGGTTTCTGCCAGTGTTTCAGGTTAGAATAATGCCCGGGGTGGCGATTGTACGTCTATGAGCTGGCCATTCACACCACTGACACCTTCCCACGCCCCCAGGACTGACTGGTTTGTTCCTCCTGATGGGTCAGCCAGTTCTTGGCATGTCGTGGGCACGTAGGAAAGAAGGGCTGTTGCCACGCACAGAAGGCACCGGGTTACACGGTGTTTGACTCTGAGCGTTTTCCTCCTTGGGAAAGAGGCACTCTAATCTTAATTAAAAATTTAATTCTGTGGCACGCTGTTTTGGATTTTCTCAGCATGAAGCTGACAAACAGCAGGTGCCCTTGAGCAAAAGAATAATTAATAGGTAGAAATTCTCGGATATTAGAGGCCTCAGGTGAAAGGAAGACATCAGAAACCAGGAAGGAGACAGCTTTATTTAGGATCTTCTGCGAAGTCTGGCTTTCAGCCACAGCAAAAGAGCAGCTCATGTGTACTCACTAGTGTGGGTCTCTCATTCACTCATTCATTCATTCATTCATTCACTCATTCAACCAGTGTTGCTGGGAGGCAGAGAACCAGGACAAAGGAGACACGGGCCTGCCCTTAGGGAGTTGTCAGTCCCGGGGAGTCAGACCTCATACTGATGCTGGGAAAATAAAGAGGGGGGTCCACGGAGCATGTGAGGAGGCACCACAGTGCGTGGAGAAGCCCTGCTCCTTGAGGCTGTGGCTTTAGGAAGGCTTTCCGGAGGAGGTGACATCGGCACTGCTTGCTGACCAGAGCAGCAGGAGGCTTTCGGGCATTGGCGGATGTGGGAAGGTCTGGGTGTCTGGGGGTGCAGTTTGGGAGCTGGGGAAGGTGAGAAACTAAAGGGCTGTACCTGGGGAGCACAGGATGGGTAATAGGATACAGAAAGGTCAGATTTTAACTTATTTTTCAGTTTCATGCCAAGTGTGTTTTCTCCTGTGTTTGTTCTTCTAGTTATTGGCTTCATCATCCGTTTATCCAACCAGCCATTCTCTTTTCCTTCCAGCTGTCCTTCCTTCCTTCCATCCACCCATCCGTCCACCCATTCAGCTGTCCTACCCTCCCACCCTTGGCATGTCGTGTCCCTCCATCCATCTCTCTATCCCTTTCTTCCTCCCTCCATCCCTCTCTTCATCCATCCTCCATCCATCCCATATTTACCAGGCACTTTGTTGGGGCCAGAAACTGGTAAGTGTAAGGATGTGGAGTTGGTGTCCTTGCCAGTACCCAGAGACATAGTTCTTGGTCTTTGGGGATCTCAGTGTAGGAGGGACCTAGCCACGAACATCCCCAGCAGTCACAGTGTGCAGAGGAGGAGCAGGAAGACCATCCCAAACTGGTCAGGTGGAGAAGGGCGGGAGGGCCACAGACCTGCTGCTGGCCTGTGTGTCTGCAGGCAGGGTGTGCAAGCTTTCAGAGGGAGACTGTTTGCTGCTGCTCCTGGAGCGTGGGCTCTGGCCTGCAGGCAGTGGGCAGGTGGGTCCCAGGCTTGTGAAATGAGTAACACCCGTGCTGCAGCCGCACCCGTGTTCCAGAGAAGCAGGCTTGCCCTTGTCTTCTGCCTGGTACCAGCCTTGTCCGTCCATCTCCCACCCCCGCCCCCACATTGTCATTAACCCATGTGGCTCATTTGGACCCAGCTCCAAACTCCAACCCCCAAATCGGGTGCAGGTAACCATGCACTTCCTTGGTGATGGAACGCACCAGAATGTCCTCCTTATCCCCGTATGCTCTGCACACCACAATGGCCCACAGCGTTCCTCGCTCAGTGTTTCTTGCTCAGACTCAGAGGGTTCACAGTTCACGACGCCCTGACTCACACCCTGGTGGACCCACCGCGCGTGGTGTTTAGGAGAGCGTCTCAGCCGCAGGTGTGGGGTGGTGTCCACGCTCTTACGGCTGGCAAGGAGGTGAGAAGGGGGATGCTGACGAGGGAGCCCAGTCCCTCTCCTCCAGCAGGAAGGTCCCTGAGCCCATTTCTGCCCTTCCAGCCAGTGCCCGGTTGTGATCATGTGTAGACGCACTGCATGTTTTAACTTCCTCCACTTGTAGATTGCTGAACTGACCGACGCCCTGGTCCTTAATGATCGTCCGTTGCTTTGTTTCAGGGAATCGTGGGCAATCTGGCCAGTGGCAAGTCGGCCCTGGTGCACCGCTACCTGACCGGCACCTACGTCCAGGAAGAGTCTCCCGAAGGTACGCGGCCTGGCAGGCAGCTCACGCTTAGGAGAGCTTAGCTTTTACATTTCCTGTAGTGTATCCTAAATCATTACTTCCATGTATCACATGCCAAGAAAGTAATAGCGCACCAAGCAGTAGAAATCCTTAGGTAGATTGTTTCTTCTCCAGTATTGGTCACTGACTGATCGTATTCTCTGTGGCATTCGGAGCAAGAGTAGAACCATGAAATACTCTTGAACTGTTTTCTTCCCAGTAGTCCTGACCTTTCCAAATGTCAGTCCAGTCTTACTCTCTTAAACACTGCTTGGCCGTTTCTCCGGCCGGGATGTTGAGTTTATCCATACTGTGTACGTCCTGTGACGTAGTCGTAGATATGAGACGTTCAGATGCCTACCACCACCTGCTGGAGTATGTTCCCGTTCCCCCTTTATAGAGTGTGTAAACATGTAATGGTCATTTTGCATGAGAATAAGATGTTTTATTCGCCATTAGGCCTTTCCCTCTCCAGATAACATATCCATATTTCCTGCTGTAAATAAAATGCCGATAGGAACCCAGCAGCCCCTGTGTCCCTAATCCAGGCCTAGTTCACAGGCAGTTTTTCTAAATTATATTTTCTCTCCGTATAACCTTGTAAAATCCAACTCTGAGACACTGAATTTCTGGTTCCTTCTTTTTCTTACTGGCTGTTCCATTCTTTGCAGATATGGATGCAGGTAACTATGCCCTTTCTTCATGGTAGCGCTTGTCTTGTTTGGAGAGAGGAGAGGCGGCTGTGTCCTGTAGCGTTCCCTCCCCTCCTCGTCCTGTGCTCCATCCTGTTGCCTTTGATTTTGCCTTTTCTTTAAGTTGAACATTTCACCCTGTTGTGTCCTTTAGATGTGTTTTTAGCAGTAGTCTAGCTTCCTATGTTTCCTGTAACACCTGTTCAGTGTCTAACTCCTGTCCTGGGGCCTGTGGAACCTTCGGATAGTGTGGAGGGATGGGTCCTGTGGCCATCTTTGCTTGGGGCTCGGCCATTAATTTGCGGAACTTTATAAACACATAAAAGCCTTGTGGTGGTCTCCGTGGAGAGGCCGACTTTCTGCGTGACCCAGACTGAGAGGATGATTTAGAAAGACCGGAGGTGAACTCGAAGGCTTGAAGGTGGGAATCCGTGCGCAGACACATGGCCCCTGGTGGAAAGTGTGTGCAGATGCATGGTTTAGAGAGGCGAGGGAGGCGAGAGCTTAGGGAGGCTTTCTCACTCCTGGGGTCTGCACCTGGTTGGGCTGCTGTATTTGTTCCTTTGTGTCTGTGTGTGGCTTTGATTTTCCTAGACTGAGGTTTGCTGGTTCCTCAGGTGTAGCTACTGTATAGGTTGATGACCTCAGCCGCTCAGTGTCTGGGTGACCTGATAGCAGGTGTAATGATCACCTCTCCAGGTAAAGCTGCCTGCACCACCCACCACACCCCTCAGGCACTCCAATGCGAGCCCTGCCCCTGGGGATGCTCTGGCTGCTCTCATTGGGCTCGGTGTCTGCCTGGCTGGTGCCGTGGCTGGTACCGGAGTCTCCGGCCCTCTCACTCAGGGACGCCTCTCCCTCCCCCTGTGTTGTCTTTGCTGTGGCTGCGTTCTTGTCCCTTTGCACGGTCACAGTTTGTTTTGTCACATTTGGGCCTGACTGTGCTGTCTTTGCAACTGGCCTTGTATTTTTATTAGCATGAAGGCATTTCTCTTCAATGTTCATTTATTAAAAGTAAAAATCGTTCCAAAATTTATGACCCCTAATAGCCCAGATTCTTTGGTTTTTCAAGTAACATGTTTTACTCTACTGGATTTCCTGGGATCGCATACAGTTTCCTAAACATGATTTTCAAGGGTAGAGCTGCGTGCGTTTGTACATGAAAGGAAAAAAAAATCCCCTCAGGCCCATGCCCGAGGCTCCTGCGTCAGGAGGAGGACAGTCCACGGTCTTCTCCCTGCACCTCAGGAGCTCACCCAGGCACCTCTCACTGATTGACCCCAGGTCAAGGGTGTGGGGGTGCTGGGAGCTGGGAGCAGCACCCACCCAGGTGCACCCAGTGGACGTGCATCAGGGCCTCTGGGTGCTGTCTTGTGCTGGAAGCCCCTTAGCCCCTGAACCCCTGTTTCTCAGAGCCTGGCCACCGGCGCCTGCCTGAACCAGGCAGGTGGCCGTGTCTACGCAGACCATGAAACTGACTCCCACATCCCGTCCATGTGCCCCCAGCGGGTCTCCACTGGCAGCAGGAAGGGACCATGGTTGTCTGAGAAAGAAAACGACAGAAAAGCCTTGATTCTCCCTGTCTTACCATGGAAGCTCCTCCTCACAGCCGGGAGCCTGTGACTGCAAAGTGGTTGCCATTCTTGTTGAGGGCATTCCCGTCGCTCAGAGCCCGTGCGTGCTTTACCGGGAAGCTGCGTGCGGAATGTTCTGGAGTTGGATTGGACGTGTCTCTGCACAGGTTTATGGAGAGCATGGAAGCCGTGGCATCCCCCCCCGGGGGTGCAGGAGCTAGAAGCCGATTATGGCTCAGCCCCAGCTGTGAGTCGTAAGTCGTCAGGTCTGCCTGTGGAGACCAAGGGTCAGGTTAGCCACCGCTGATGGTGGTGTTGCGGGCACTAGGCCAAGGGGGTTGGGCTTTGAGCTGGGAGACCTTTCCATTTCCTGGTGTTTTAACTACCTTCTGACGTATGCTCCTTCCTCTTACAACTGCCGGAGTGGTCACCTGCCTCCAGCCACACATGGGCAGCGACTTTAAATGAAAACAACGTTGCTGGTGATGGGGCTGCGTGACCCGCCCGTTCCACATAGCTCCTTGGAGCTCCCTGCGGCTTCTCACGTCTGCACAGGGCTGTTCTTTTGATTTAATTAACGTGTAAATGCCCTCTAGTGTTCCTCTGACCGCACCAGGGCCCTTTAGATTGTTGGGAGGGGTGGTGAGGGCCTTCCTGCTTCAGTATTCTCGCTCTCGGAACCCTCTCGTGTGACCTCCCGACCTTCGCTGGAGCACACGTTCATCAGATTGAGTTTGGCGGGATCTCAGAGGGTAATATTTGCTGTGTTTTAGTTGTGTGAGTTTGGTTGGTATTTTATTCCTGTGGCAGAGAGAGCTCATTCACACAATTTAGGTCTAAGACACAATTTAAGTGACAACAGATTTAAATGTTATGTGTGTTTTTTAACTAGTGAATTAACAAGGCAAAAGTAGGTAACTCAGTAGGGAGCTTTTGATTCCTTGAACGTCATCCAGAGTAAAGTTTTTGTACAGGCAATTATGTTTTTCATTGTGTGTGTGAGAGAGAGACATGTATGCGGGTGGAGTCCTGGAGCTGCCACAAGTGACCACAAACTGGCAGCTTAAACAACAGGCTGTGTTCCCTCCCAGCGCCGGGGCCAGGAGTCTCGGTGGAGGTGGACAGGCTGGTCCTCCCGGGCTCTGAGGGGGAACCTGCTCCCTGCCTCCCTCCCCGCTTCTGCGGGTGGCCAGCAGCTGTTGGTGTCCTTGGTCTGTACACGCATCATTCCAGTCTCTGCCTCAGTCGCCAGGTGGCCTTGTCTCTGGTCCAGATGTCCCTCTTCTCACCAGGACACCAGGACTGGAGGTAGGGCCACCCTCCTCTACTAGGACGTCATCTTAACTTGATCACCTCTGCAAAGACGCTGTTTCTAAATAAGGTCACATCAGGTGTTGGGGGTTTGGACCGGAACATAACTTTTTTGTGATAAAATTCAACCCGCACCGTGTGCGTATTGTGCACATGCAGTGTTTCAACAAGCTGCTCTCACAGCTGTGGAGTTGCCCCGTCACCTCTCGGTGGCCAGGCCGTGCTGCGATCTCATTGCTGGTTTCTTGAAGGTCACACGCACTCTGTTCGTTTACTTGTGACCTTCACACCTCTGATGGGATTTCACAGCTGCCACTCACTCCTCGGCCATTAGTGCCCTACTCATGGCTGCTAATTAGAATTGTGAGTGGCGTTTGGCATGTAATCCGAGTTTCTATCTCATGTGCTTAATATTCCCCCTGTCACAGCGACCACCACTCAGCTTTTAACTCCCGACCTTGAAGGAGGAAAGAAAGGCAGGCCGTTCAGTACTGTGTGGGAATTTGCACAAGGACCCGCCTGAGACACTTCCCCCGGCTGGCCAGGAGGCTGTGTCCTGTCCCGGGGACATTTCTCTGTGATTCCTTTTCTCTCCGTGCAGCTGATGTGGCCCAGCTCAGGGTTGCAGAGCCGCTTGGGTGGAAGGACCTGGAGCCCAGGAGGCGGAGCCCCAGTCGGTGCCTCCCGGGTGGTGGGGAAGGGAGAGGCCCACTGGCTCCCTGGTGGTTAGTGGGAGATTTTAAAGTTGGTAGTGACAAACTTAAGGATGTCCCTAGAGCTTCCTTCCTGTGGCTCTAGAATTAACTGCTGGCAGCCACTTTTGCAAGGAGCCTGAGCTGTGAAATGGGTGACAGTGCCAGGATGAAGTCACACTGGTGAGAAACTTCTTCATCGGGCCTGGAGCAGACCCTCCTCCAGGGGCGGGTGTGGCGGGTGTGGTAGGGGCCAGCCTGCCACGGAGGCCCGGGAGCGGGGGCCAGCGGGGGCCAGCAGGGGCCAGCGGAGGCGCTGCCGCTGCGGCCACAGCAGGGCTTTGCTGAGGGGCTTCGCCAGGTGTGGCCGAGGAGCAGCTGTCCCTGCCATTCCCAGGTCCTTGTGAGCTGAACCCGGCAGGATTCCTTCCTGCAGTGAGTGGATCTTCAGCTTCTCATAGGCTCTCAAGCAACTCACATTTGTGAACAAAAATCTCCGTCCCGGGCCCTGGCCGCCCCGAATCTGTCTAGGCCAGAGGCCAGCAGGCTCCTGGCTGAGGCCTGGGAATGGGGGACATGCCAGCGTGAAGGCTGCGATGGCCCTCCTCTCACCTCCAGGAGGGTGGTCCTTCATCCCACGGTGACCTGTGAGCTCTCTCTTTCATTCCAGTTCTTTCCAGCAGTGAGCACACAGGTGAGGCAGCAACTGGACCTTCCTACCCCCACCCCGAACGGAAAACACTACCTTACAGCTGGGAATTTCAGCCCCGCACCACCCGTATGACAAATATAACAGACTAAGAGTCCAAAGAGCGTAGGCCAAGAATGGAAGCTGGGTCTTTCACGTGGAGTGGAGTGGAGGGAGGAGAAGCCAGCCTCCCTCCCAGTTGGGAGATGCCTGGGAAGATCTCCCTGCAGAATCACTGGAGACAGTTAGAGGGAAACACGAATGTCTGCTATTTGGGAAAAGTTTTAGGGGAAAATGAAATGTTAGATACTAAGACTAATTATTACTGTCAGGTAGGGAAAATGGTTGAATCAATAACAGAACCCCTCTCATTCTGTAAAGGTTTTCCGATAGGAGCCCCCCCTAGTCCTGGCGAGCAGTAACTGCATGGTGACATGTCCCCAAGGTCATTGCTGACCTGACATGCCACACGCCAGTCGCTGTCATTACACAGGCGCCGGCTTCTCACGAGAAGCGGGGCCGTGTCAGGGAGCTGGTCTGTGCCATGTCTGAGGTTTAAAGAGCCAGCGTGGAGCTGCCAGCCTCCCAGGTCCCGGGAGGTGGGTTCTGGGTTCCACAGCGCGTCCCTGACTCAGCCCATCCCACGTGCCCGTCTCTCAGTGAGTGTGTGACACACTTGCCAGTGCACGCTGGACGTTACTGCGATACAGGCTCAGAAACACTAGT